TGTGCCAGGTGCTGTGCTAAGTGTTTTACTTATCCGAATACTCATATAGCCCTGAGGTTATTGCACTGTTATGAGCCCCTTTTACAAATGAGGAAAGCTGTGTTTGGGGAGATTAAGTTCCAGGTACGCAGCTGGCCCCTATTGTCACTTAGGTATGAAAGTAGGTAAGCACCCCTTTCCTCAATATACGTGGCCTCTGTCTCTCAGAAAACTGTCATGATGTTTGATTTTCTTAGAACAAGACCTTTCACTGCCTTGTGCTGCCACACTTGTTATAAATCCACAAACCTACACAGTCTCCCGCATGTCAGTCTCCCCCTCAGATGTTGTGCCCTTGAGCTTTGCAAAACCTGCTTCTTATCATCTGCTCCCCAGCCGCAAACTCACTGAAGTCTTTGAGCTGTTTCTCCTGGTGTTCGACTCCAATTCTCTCATCAATTTTGTTCATTATCTATGGACTTCCTCTTAAGAGAAACGAAGATTTAGCTCTCCCCATTTTCCCTTCACAACTCCTGTAATACATATATCACTGTTTTAACTTAGTAAAGTATTTACTTTATTATGGCATAAAGTTATATGATATATATAATGTAATATTATATTATATAAATATTATTCACTGAAAATTCAATCATGTACTTTAATTTCATTCTTTCCTGAACTCTGATTTTCTCAGAGTCTCTGATTCCTTTTGTTCCCCTTTTGTCCTGTTGCCAGCATCATACTGATGGCTAACATTTGAGCATTCACTGTGTGCCAAGCTCTGTTCCAGGTGCCTTGCAAGCATTCTCCAGTGACCCTCCTGAAAACTCTATGAAGTGTGTGCATTGTTATTATGTTACAGCCCAGGAAGTACAGACTCAGAGAGGTTAAATAAACTGCCTCGTGATTCTGCCTGAAAACTGGCAGAGGCAGGAGTTAAATCCAGATGGTCTGACCCTAGGCCCCATGCTCTTAATATTTTACTACATGTCTTTAATTATATTATATTGTATACTTTTTTTCCCCCCTGAAGTCCTCCCTTTTGGGGACCCTCCATCTTCCTGCTTCAACTTTGGGCCTAGGTTGAAGCTGTTGTTTCCTGGAGCTCTGTTTTTTTGTTTGTTTTTTTAGTCCCTGGTTTTGCTGGTGTTTATCCTCCAAGCAGCTTCCTTAGAAAGGGGGCATACATTTTTTACATCTTGGAAAGTCTTAAAACTCTTTATTCTGTCTTCTGGCAATGGTGCAATGTCTTCAAAATTCTAATTCTCTCTCATCTAGAATTTTACATACAACCTAACTGTCTTGCCGCATCCGGTTGTTTTTAGGATGAGAAGTCTGATGTCATTCTGATTCCAGTTCTCTGATATGTGATTTTTTTTTTTCTTTTAAATTTCAGGGAGATTTTATAATCTTCTCTTTATTCCTCTGTTCTAAAATTGCATAATGTCTGCAGTATTTCTTTGATAAATTCCTTCCCTCTTTCTTTCATTTCTCCTCCTGAACTCCAGTTAATTAGATGTAGGACCAGCTGGATCCACTGTCTCTCTTTCTTATCTTTTCTCTCCTAATGTATACATCTTCATCTTTCAGTTCTGTTTTCTGGAATATTATCTTAACCTTGTTTTCTAATCCCTATATTGGATTTTTAAATGTTAACATTCATATTTGTAAAAGACCTCTCTTTTATTCTATGTTTGTTCTTTTTCCATAACACCCTCTTCTTTTTTAATGGATGGAACAGTCTTTCACACTTTTCTGTGGTTACTAATGAGAACCTTTTTTTAAAACTTTCCTCTGTTTCTTGTTTTCTCTGTTTCTGCCACAATTATATTTCGGTTTATTTGTTCTGAGCTCCCCTTTTCATCTTGGGGGCTTTCTTTGAATACCTGGTGATCCTTTTTTTCTGTGCATATTTCAGGAAAACCTGGGTGGGTGGTTGAGGCTTGTTGACTGCTTGGCTTTGTTGAGGATCAGCTGGGGAGCTCCCAAGGGACCCCAAAGCCAGTGCATAGAACTGTTGTATTGTGGACTGCTCCATCTCTCCAGAAACAGATCCCTGGTCTGCAGGGAGGGTGGGGAAGGAGGAGAGCCACAGCTTTGGATGGGCTCCTCAGCCTTGCATTTCTGCTCCCCTCTTCCTCCACCTAGGGCCTCAGGGTCCACAGGCCTCTCTGGGGTTTTTCAGGGAAAGCTGACTGTCACCAGAAAGACAAGGGAAGAGTCTTGGGATTCAGCACACACTGACCGCAGCCTATGGCAAACAGAGGTCAGCCTGTGTTTTTCCGGGAGTGGATCAGCTGCCAGTCCTCAGCCAGGAAGGATGAGGTGTCATTGCACTTGCTACTCTGTGTCCATCCAGCTAGGCTGCCTTTTCTCTGGTCTGCGTTCTCTTGACTGGCTGGTTGGAATGCCTCCCCCATCCTCTGGGCAGGCGGCATTGCCCCAAAGGAATTGCCCATGGCTCTTGCTGTGCCCTCTAAATCAGGGAGTTGGAGAGAAGCCATGCACCAGCCCTCAGAGAACCCATGTGCTCATAAACTCATGTCTTCTGGAGGCTGAGAAATGAAAGGGGTTCAAAGCTGGTTTTCCTGGCTGCTCCTTTTCATCAAAGAGACCTAAGGACGTGTCCTGTCGGCATATTCTGAGCTTTCTCCCAGAGGGTCCCAGAGCTTACTTCTGGGAATTGTCAGGGCTTCCTGCCCTCTGCTCATTTGATTGTTCTGGAAAATCTGGGCTGCAGCCTCCTCCTTCCACAATTCTCCTGGTGGTCAGCCCAGCCTCCGGCTCCTGCTGGAGCCTCCTTTATTCATTCTTTCCATACAGTTGCTTTGAATACCTATGTGCCAGGCACGTTGGTGCGCTGGGGAAAAAGGCAAGCCAAAGGGGCACTGTTCTGGCCTCAGGGGCCTTCAGGGTGGTTCTGTAAGAGTGTATGACGCAGCAGACATGTTTGTAGTAAACCAGCTGCCTTGCAATTACTTTTCGCTTAAGGGAGACCTGGGGCAAATATTTTTGTAATTTAAATAATTAGCTTTTGATATAAATAGGTGTCTGGGACATTTATTTGTGTCCTTTGTGTTCATCTAGACTTTCAGGATATCTTTCCAGGCTTTATTAACCCTGGACCTGCCTGGATGCAGGCTACTCTGAAACTCTCTAGAGCAGAGGTCATAGTGAAGCCAAGGATTGGTGGGAACTGTCTCCCAGAGGCAGCATCTGTCTCTTTAGACTGTGGGGACTTCCTTTCACAAAGATTATCGGCACCTATTGTAGGACAGACGTTGTGCTGGGTGTTAGACTTCCAGAGATTTCTCTAGGCGGACACTTCCCAAAGTTTGATCCAGGGAACAATAGTTCCACAGGGAAGTGTTAAGCAGGAATTACGGAGGAAGAAGTAAGTCCTTACCCAGGTGCTAGTTTCTTTCTGTGACAGGTGAGGTCCTGCTGAGGGTGAATCCCCAGGAGGGACTGGATCCTGGTGTCCCAAATTTCTTTTTCCAAGGAGAGTTTATCTGTGTGTTTTAAATCACAGTAAATGTAACAGACCAGTGCCCTTTTGAGCAAGCTCTGGGCCGTTCCACCAATGGCACCCAGTCCGTGCTCCCAGAAATGGGTCTGGATTTCTACATGGGCTGCTAAGGGCAGCTGTCCTGACAGAGGGTGAGTGGCAAGGGGTTTGTGGTCAAGCTGCACACTGTGTTTACTACTCAGCTACAGCTTAAAACAGCAAAATGATCCCAAGGTGTTTTTAGATGTCAGAGTTCCAGGTCAAATTTATTCTCATAATTTCTTTTATTCAGAAGGAGGGAGTTTAGGGGGATGCTAACACTCACCTCCCTGGTGCCAGCCTTCACCAGAGCTGCGCTATCCTCAGGAGGTCGTGTGCCGGGGCCACCTTGGGCAGAGTCCCTCTCTGGCCTTGTTTTCTCTCTCTGAGGGCCTGGATGCAAGTGGTGTCAGTGGACTGTTCTGTGGCAGCCTTGGGCTCTGTGGTGTCCCCTCACACCCCACCTTAGTGTCAGCCTGAGCGTGTCCTTTTGTCTGGTATATTTATTGTGGCTTCTGTAAAAGTTTCATTTGAACCAAGTTTTTCTGAGGCTAAAATATTTGGAAACCACAGGAAACGCAGGCCCCCTTGCTCTCTAGGGCCTTACTGTGCCTGTTTCAGTTTAGAGACTGGGTGCCTGATGCCTGTGTAGTCATCCTTGGGGGAGAAGGGTGTCACTGGCAAATGGTCCCCAGAGGGCTCTGCAAGGAACATGACCTGCGGGATGATACTTGGTGAGTAACCTAGGCCACTGTTCCTCACTTCTATTTTTAGGTACAAGTGACTAATGACTGGGGGCCTCATGTGGGGAAGGACCTGCTGATTCACCCCAGAGCAGACTAAACACATTTGGGGCATCAGCAAAGTAGGGGAAACAAAATTTTGTTTTTAATTTGCAGAAGCATCAAATTTTTTCATCATGGCAAAATCAGAACTTTGTTGAATGGCCTCACATTTCCTTCTGTTTTGGTCTAGCTTCTTATTGTGAATTGGATGTGTATGTGATGGGTGGGACCCATCTGCTTCTCAGTGCTTTGGACCTCTAAAGCCCTTACTCTGCCCTGGTATCCCTGAGGCCCCCTCGTAGAGTCCAGTTATCAGGTCCTTAACTAAAGGATCCCTTTTCTTCTAACCTTTAGTTTCAGCTACACGAACTCTGCCTGCCCTGGGCAGATTCTTAACATATTTGCCCATCAACAGCCTCTCAGAGAGGAATGTTAAATGCTGCCATGATGTCAAAGGGGCCCCCAAGGGGAAGGGCCTGGGCCAAGCCCAGCCTGTCACTCATGGCCAAGGCAGAGTGGGAGATAAGCAAAGGCAACGGCTCGGAGAGAGTCTGGTCCTCTGGGCACCCTGAACAACCCAGGTGAGCCTTAGCTAAAGAACAATGAACTTCCAGACACTGCTGCCCAAGTGAAAGCCAGAGGTCTGCAGCTCTTCTGATTCCTCACCCTTGGCAATCTTCATCAGGATGTCAGGAGCCCCCAGGGAGAGTTTGCCGGGGCTGCCAGGGCTGGGCAAGGCCTGCTTAACCACCATGGACCAAAAGCTTAACGTGCTGGATGAGAAGGTTGACAAACTCTTAAATTTCCAAGAAGATGTCATGGAGAAACTGCAATGTGTGTACCGAGGCATGGGCCACCTGGAGCAAGGCCTGCACCGGCTGGAGGCCTCCCGTATTCTGGGCCCAGCTGGGGCCAACCGCACTCCCCCCGCTGACATGCAGGCTGGGTGGCCGGAGGTCCTGGAACTGGTGAGGGCTGGGCGGCAGGATGTTGCCCAGCAGGGCGCCAGGCTGGAAGCCCTCTTCCGGATGGTGGTGGCTGTGGACAAGGCCATAGCTTTGTTGGGGGCCGTGCTCCAGAACTCGAAGGTGGTGGATTTTATCATGCAAGGGAGTGTCCCCTGGAGGAAGGGAAGTCTGGCCGAAGGCCCTGCGGAGGTTGGTTCCTGCTGCCCTGCCCCAGTGCCCTTCTGGCTGGAAGGGAGGCTCGGGTCCCTGGTGGGCAGACCAGACAGGAAGCTAGTCCTAGGAGAGCTGGAGGGCTGTTGTCCCCTCTTGTGCCTCCTGCGTGACCTGTTGATGGGAACATGGAGAGATGGAAGCTTAAAGACCATAGGTGGGTTTACAGACAGGGCAGGACAGGTGGATTTCCCCCAGGGAAAGGGAGAGGCAGTGCCTCTGTGAGGCCCTGGGCTGTGCAGGGAACCTAGAAGTGGGGGACAAATGAGCCACTAGGGAGAGGAGGGCAGTTACACTTCTTTGACATCCCAGGAACTTCTTTTCTCCTTAAACCTGGAGTGGGAGAGAAGTGGGGAGCACTCAGTTTACCCTGACAGAGCCCCCTTCAGAAACCCAAACCTCCCTCCCTTCCTGCCCCCAGTCTTGTGCTCTGTCCCCGAGTGGGTGGAGTGTGCAGCTGCCTGTGGGGAGATGAGTGTTGACAGTGACCCACGGGGGACACAGGCGGGAGCCGGAGCCTGGGGGTGGAGTGTGGCATTTCTGGGAGTGGCTGTTCCCAAGGGTTGCATAATCAGACCCACTGGCTAATGGAAGCTTGGCTGGGATGTGTGTGTGTGTGTGTGGTGTGTAGAGGCAACACTGGGAACAGCAGGGTAAGCCACCTAGCAACACTCAGATGGCCTGGAGCCACCCTTTCAGATCTCTGCAGCTTCCCCCCAGCATGGAGTCTGTGCTTAAACTCTGTCAGCGACTGAGGCTTTCAGAGGCAAGGCTGCAGGAGTTTGCCTTCCCTCCCCCTCCCCAGCCAGGCCAGAACTCGCTCTGCTGATCCCTTCCCTCCCTGCCCAGCTGCTTCTCCAGAGCTGGCCCCTCCCACCCCAGCTCCCTGCTTTCTGCACCTCCCCTGAAAGTCAGGCCTGCAGGGGAGATGTGACCTTCTGCTCTTGACAAAGATAACCAACCTCAGCTTTAAAACAGAAAATAGATCTAATTTATGCTCATGGTAAGAAAACATTCTCCCTCCTACTGCATCCCCCCAGTCCCCAGGACAATCCCTCCTCCCCAGACAATCACAGGAACCAATCTCCTGTGAAGCCTACCAGATAGAGTCTGTTTATCTACAAGCACATTGGTGTACACACCACCCTCTTTGTTTTGTTTTGTTTTAACTCAAATATTATTCACATTGTACTGGCCTGGATTTTTTTTAACTTAATATATTTGGGGCATTGTTTCTTATTTATAGCTAGAAAGGCTTCTTGTTCTTTAAGTTGCAGAGAGCTCTAGTTTTGAGGATGTGTCTTAATTTGTTAATCAGTCCCCTATCATTGTTTGTTTATATTGTTTCTCAGTTTTAGCTATTATAGATAATGATGCAGTGACTAACCATGGAAGTGTGAGTTTATCTATATGACACACTCCTAGAAGTGGCAGTGCTAAGCCAAAGGGTAAATTTATACAATAAATGAAGCCAAACCAACCTTCAAAGAAGTTATTCTAATTCAATAACGTATGGGAATGCTTGTTGCCCCATTTTTGCTAACAAAGCATATTATCCAGTTTTTGACTCTTTGCCTGTCTGGCGGATGAAAACATCTTATTATGCATGTGTTTTTTAAAAAACATTTTAGTATAAAAAATGTCAAACATTTATAAAAATAGAGATTAGTACAATGAGCCCTGTGAGCCCATAACTGGAGGCTGATGTTTCCCACCCACTTCCCTCTTTCCAGATTATTTGAGGAAAATCTGAGATAATGGATTATTTCTCCCATAAGCATTTCAGCACATATATCTAAACATAAGGGCTCTTTTAAAAAACATTATCATGATCTAAAATGTGAATGCTAACTTGATATTACCAGTCAGCGTTCAAATGTCCCTGATTGGCTTATGCCTTATTTATTTATTTTTATAATTTGTTTATTTGAGTTAAAATCCAAATAAGGCAATTGGTTAGATGCCTCTTAAAGCTAACTTTTTAAAAAAAATTCTTAAAATTAAAAAACAAACTTTTTATTATGAAAAATTTCAAACATAACCAAAAGTAGACAGAATGATATATCTCACTGTAGTTTTAATTTGCTCACGCCCTTTTCCCTCTATTTATTTTTTTGCCTTTTTCTTGATTTGTAAGAATTCTTCATATATCACTGAAATCAGCTGTCATACGTGTTGCAGATATTTAGGCATTTCTGGGTAGGGTGAAGTCATGGAACTTTCTGTTTTCTGAGTTCTTGCCATAGTTCTTGCCTGTGATTGATCTGGCACGTGATTGATCTCTCTTCCAGTCTTTGTGTTTAATACACATCCCAGTAACTATGTAAAGGGCTAGATCTAGTCTCCCAGTCAGGCTGTCAGCTCCTTGCTGACTGTGAGGCCTCTGCTTCCCTCTGTGTGCTGGCAGGGCTGGCCATTAGACAGCTGTGACCGAGCCCCAGCTATTTAACACACTGTCCATGCTGAAAGCAGTGCACTGTGGAGACTTTCTGGAGATCCTCTTTGTATTTCCTAGGAGAGTAGGGGCATAGAAACTTGTGGAATTGAATTCAGCCTTAGCACTGGCTGCCAGGACTTCGGGAAGCTCCTCCTCAGGTCTGCAGTGCCCAGTGGCACTTCGTTTGGTTGTAACAATGAATCAGATTATTACTAGAAGCCACGTGCTCTCTCACGGACAGGGTCAGGCTCAGCCAGGATGTGCAGAATCACAGTCAAGCTGCTCAGAAGGCATCAGTCCTCCAGATGCCTAGGCGTTTGGGGTCTATCCTTTTTCTTCTGGACGCATTGGACAAGGCAGGAACCAAAAGTTTGAGCCTTGAAGTCAAAACCCAGCTCTGCATGTGTGTGTGTTTGTGTGTGTGTGTGTGCGTGTGCGCGTGCGCGCACGCCTCTCTCCACCAAAGACAAAGGGAGGGAGAGGACAGTCTGAGCTCCACAAGGTCTACCAAAGGAAAGTCTGTTCAAGTCTTTCTCTACTGGTGGGTGAAACAGGAGGCAGCATGATAATGCTTTCAGTTCCCCCAACTATGGGGGTGGCAGGACAGAGTCTGTAGAAAGAGACCAAAGGAGAGGTCTCTGCAGAGCAGGGCATCCGGGTCACATTGATGATGCTGGTGATAATCCTGATGACAGAAGCTAGCACTTATTTATTAAGTTTCCATGTGTTATGTTGTTACCATTAAGAGGGCAAAGCTTACTGTCCAGGAATCCCAAAGACATGAGCAGGAAACAGGACTGAGAGAAGTGGGCACAGCATAGGGAAAACAGTGGAACCAACCTGGAACCAAGCAGAACCCTATGTGCCACCCCCCACCCCCACTCCAGTACAAAGGCCCCTCCACGTCCCTTGCCTCTTGTTTGTAGAAAAGCTGAAGTCTCCCAGGCCTCCCCAAGTCACAAAAGAGCAGGCCAAAGCAGCTAATGATTAGGACAACAGAGTCACAGACTCAGTGTCTGATGCACATTCCTGAGTTGTTTTACAGATACTGTAACTGCCACCAGAGGGAAAAAGCTAACTACATGATGACCAGACTGCAGCCATGACTTAAGCTCCATCTTGAGCAGCACTGAATCTATGGCTAGCAAAATTTCAAGAACTGGCCTCAAGAGAATGGGATACTATTGCTCATAATAATCTATATCTTTGTGGGCATCAACATAATTGTAGCTTCTTCTGCCCATATATGTAAATGGGCAACTACACTTGACAGCAAAGAGATGCTACAGACCCATGCCGACATCTTCCACTCTAAGAATGCGGCACCCTACATTAGCACGAGGTAGTTACAGAAGATGGACCTGTGCCCATAATCCCATAGGAAAGGAATGATGTCCTGACAAGTGGGGATTTGTAAGCAGCTTTTGGCAGGAAAGAGCTCTTTGCAGGAGGCCCCTTTTGTCTTGTCACTAACCTTAAACCAGGCACCCCCACGCTCTACTCATCTCTGGCCCAAGCGCAACTTTCAAATCTTTTGATCACACAATACCTTGCCTAACCTGTCAGTTCTTTCTGTAGATCAAAGAAGTAGAAATGAAGAATAAGTAACTAACAGAAGACCAGACCTCTTCCCTAGCTTCCCCTTCAGTAATCTCACAAACTGTGAACAAACTGTGAACAAGATAGCATCAACAAGCCCGCACGACAAGCCTGCATACACTGGGGCATGGCGACAACTCTGATTAACTGAGATTACTTCACTCTT